TGGACTTAGCCATACATATACATGTATCCATTTTTCCTGAAACTCCCCTCCTGTCCAAGCTGCCATATAACATTGAGTTCCACATGCTATACAATAGGTCATTGTTTGTTATCCATTTTAAAGATAGCCATGTGTACATATCCATCCCAAACTCACTATCTCTTCCCCTCATCCTTCTCCTCCAGCAACTAGCAACCAGTTTGTTCTCTGAGTCCGTTTCTGTTTTGTAATAAGTTCATTTGCATCACATCATTTCCTTTTAGATTCTGCATACATGGGATGCCATTTGACATTTCTCCTCCAAAGGTAGATCAGAATATTTGAAGCTAGAATCACCCAGATCCGCCCTGATTTTAGATGAAGGAACTGAGACTCAAAAGAGGCCAAGTGGTTTACCCCTCAGGAACACAGCCCCTCCACACATGCCCATTAAAAGTGGAAACTGCAGTAACTGTCTGCATACTAGCCACCTTTGCTAAAGCACCAGTGAACCACTAGAGACAATAAACTTGCATTATTAAAGCAGAGGTTTGGTGGTGTTAAGGATTATAACAAATAAGCTTTAATCCCCTCTTTTACTGAGCTACTTTATTAGGGGGGAGGGAAACCTTTGCTTTGCTGCCACATCAAACTTAACTATGATTAGGCACCAACAAAGCAGTAAGCATTAGACAGCACAGGAAATATCTGTAGAGTTCTTTATGCTTGTATAATTGCCTCAAGCATTAGTCACTTTTAAAAAATCACACACTTAATAATGGGAGAGAATTTACTACCAAGTCTCTTTTCATTAAGATTTCACTTCACCACCAAGAATTAAAATCCATCCCCTAAACCACTACCACCAAAGAAAATATACTGAACCCACATATCCTTGAGGTAGACCAACGTTATCATTATTTCCCCTTATGAGGAAACGGAAGCCTTAGGCAACTAGCTCAAGGCTAAGTGCAATTCAGTAAGAGCTCCTCTTCTTGATAAAACTGGACTGTTATAAGGGAACATTTAAATGGTTTGAAAATTCAAAAATCCCATGGCAACAGGAATGACACACACATACACCACCTTTTGGTTGTCCTTATCTCTTTTTGATGAGAAATAAAGACTAAAATATGACATTTCAAATAGACACCTTCCTTTGTTGACGGGTCTTCCTTGGTGGCTCAGAGGGTAAAAGCATCTGCCCGCAATGCAGGAGACCAGTGTTCAATCCCTGGGTCGAGAAGATCCCCTGGAGAAGGACATGGCAACCCCACTCCAGTATTCCTGCCTGGAGAATCCCATGGCTGGAGGAGCCTGGTGGGCTATATATATATATAGTCCATGGGGTCGCAAGAGAGTCAGACACAACTGAGCAACTTCACTTTCACTTTGTTGACTAGAAACTGACTTCGTGTGTCCTAGAAGCAGGTCTTCCATTGGTTTTGAGTAGTTCTCAAAGTGTTGTCTCCAGCCATCACAGCAGTACCTAGGTTAGAAATGCAAACCCTTAGGCCTCACTCCAGACCTACTGAATCAATCTTTGGAGGTAAGGCTGGGGATCTGTATTTTAACAAGTGCTAACGTTCAAGAAGCCCTATAGGATCCCAGCTGCCTTATCTGGGGTGGCGACTGGCTGAATAAACTTAACACTTTTATTGTGTTATTAGTCAATATTCATGTTTTCTACCATGTGATCTGTCTTGAACAGCTAACATGGGTAATTTCTGCTGAAGGTTAGTCACCCTATAGAACCCCTGGGCCCCAAATTCTAATAAGCCCATGTCGTTTCCAACATTCACTAGTCTCCAAAGCAAGGCAGTATTTCTCCATCTCAGTGGCCCTTCCACCAAATGATGTCCTCTGATAATCCCAAAGTGAGTGGATCAACAAGCTCCCTCTACCCTGTTAATTCTCAAGTGTGCCCAGTTCCTCAAGGTTAAGCGTCCCGTTTATCTATAACTTTGCATCTCCCTCATATGGATAAGCACGGGTACTTAAAATGAGCACATTTTGTCCAGGTATGTGTCTGCATCATAAAATCCCCCAAACTAGGTGTCTTGCTGCTTTCTGTAGATGCACACTTGAAAAGCAGATATGTACAAGTTTCCCTTTAGGACCCCATCTCATCCAACCATAAGATTTTTTTTTCTTCAATCTACCAGCATTTTTAATTGTTTGAAAAAAAAAGAGTCAAAATTTTTCAGATCTACAAATATCATTTATTTTGCAAATTTACATTTAAATGTCCATTTACATTCAGGAACAATCTGCTCCTTCACCCAACTGCCAAAATACACCTTCATGATTTCAAATATTTTATTTTAAAAACTGTCATCATTTTTAAAACTCCAGATGTGTTTCAGAACATTTTTTAACTGCAGTTAGAGAAAGGACATCTTACTTAAGTACTGACAGACTGTGGTCAACAAGGGTCCTGCGGTTCGCAGATGGATACCGTGCAATTTTTCTCCTATTATACTAATCAAAATTGCATCGTGATCCACCCGACAACAGCAAAACAGGTCATTTTACAATGATCAAATATCAGAACTTACAACCTTTAAACATTAGAAGACGATAAATTCCTCCTTTCTTCCATAGGCCGGGACAAGTGCAATACTTTATATGTAACACAAGTAGTGCAACAAATCCCCACCCATAGATGAATGGGTGTGAAGACTGGAGATTTGTGCGAAGACTGGAGATTCGTGAGAAGGTAGTCAGAAGGCCGCAGAAGAAACACAGTATCACAATCAGTTTTGCATGGATTTGCACAGCCATATATACACACGCTGAAATGCAAACCAGCAAAACTAACTGTAAGTAGCAGTGTCTTTGCATGTTCTCCGCATCAGCAAGAGCCGTTATCCAAGAGTACTGGAAGTGCCCACACTACAGTAGAGTGTTGCCAAAACTACCTGCACTGTGAGCACTTTGGTACTACTGGGACCTGATCTTATGCTTTGGTACAAAAAACCATATGCCGCACACAACCCTCACCCCTCTGCTCCCAACAAACAAGGACAAAACCAAAGACAAACCTTTGAAAGGCATCCTGTGCAAATTATTAGTCAAGGCATGTTTTCCAATGCTGTGTGTCAGGCAGCCTGTGCCAGAAGGAGCATTTAGGGCAGTAGATTCTAAGCTGCTTCACTAACTGCACTAGATGCACCTTAACACAAGAGACACATTATGGGAAACAGCTCCAAAGCACCAACAGCTTCATTATGCACAAAGTACAGGTCTCAGTAGCCATTGATTAAATCACCATGGTAATGTAAGAAGTGCTTGCATTGCAGTAGATCTCAAAAAGCTACCTGCACTGTAAGCACTTTTACATGGCCAAGGCCTATTCCTGAAGCAAAAAAGCAAAAGTGTCTTTCATGAGCTCTTCTTTTCCATCCTCACTCATCTATTCAGACTCATCTGGTTCAAAAAAAAAAAAAATTAGATACTGAACAACTACTAGTTAATATTCCTGAAACAAGCTTTTCTTTGGCTTAGAGAGTCCCAGCTAGGTTTTGGAGTTTCAGCCAAGTCCTGAGAAGTATTAATACTCTGAATTATTTACACAGTTGAACACAAATAACACTGGCAATTTCAAAAGTCCAATTCTTATGTATAAGCGGATTTTGGACTTCCCCTCTCCATCTAAGAAAACTTGGTATCTGCATCCCAGAAAATGGACAGGTCCATTACCTCCCACCGCCCCTAGAGAAAGAAGCATATAAAAATTAGAGTGACTATCCACTTCTTGAGGTAGAGCTCCATACAAAAAAATGACTGTTAGATTAAATGAACATTCCCTGCCCCCACTCCATTAATAGACTATGAGAGAAATTTTAAAGCTGGTTTAAGAAACACAGCCTTCCACACTCTTCACATAATGCACAGATGGCCTAGAGATGTCACATTTTGATCTATTTCAAAGGGCTCTTGTTCTGTTTAAACATTTATGGACCCATTTTCTCCATTAAACCCAAAGAAGGCAGATTAGCTTCTCTTCCCTTCATGTCATTATCGTCCATAAGCAAACCTTCTCCATTCCCAAGTGCTTATCTTACCTAAGAACATGCAGCAAGGAAATGAGCCCCTATTTGAAAAGGGTTCACAAGGTTACTCTACCTCTTCCATGATGGGTTAAGTTTTGTCAAAAAAGAAAAAGAAAAATTTAGAGACTCAGAATCCGTACCATGTTTAACTAGTTAGGGAATTTTAAATGTTGGGCTTCCTTCACAGTACCCCAGACCACTAAACTAGTTTTTAATAAGAAAACTCCTTAAACTGATGCATAAAAACTACACTTAAATCTAAAAATCTAAATTCTATGGAGAAAGAAGACTAAAATCAGTAGAGAAAGAGAACCATGTTTCCTCTTAAATTAGATTTCTCTGCCTGTACTTTTTCCCCCTTAAAAAAATACTCCTAAATGGACTTAAAAATGTATTGCATTTGATTCAACCTGGCAACACTCGGGTCGGAGAGAGCGCCTGCCACAGTTAACATCTTTCTTTAATGAGCCGTTCATCTGGTATACCTCGCCCGCGCTGGACAGCCACTCTCGCACTTCTTTAAAACGCCCCCCCACGAAGAAAGCCTCCGCCTCCGCCTTTGTGCATCCCTCGGGTTCTTCCCGCGCCTCTCACACACGTACCTAGCGCTGCCGTTGAAGTCTGGGAGCCGCCCGCGCGCCCAGGGTGTGCTCCAGGGGCTCACACCACGCGCTCCCGTCCGCGTGCTGCAGCCGCCGCCGCGATTAAAGAGAAAGAAACAAAGCATCATGGGAAACGGAGTTCTCCATTCAAAGCCCCAAAAACGCGCCAAGCCCACGCCTCCCTCCCCCTCCATTCCCGGGTTGGTGGGAGACCAGCCAAGGGGGAGGGGAGTCCTTTTTTCCCCTCCACGTGCACCCCCTCATTCCGCACCCCCAAAGTTCTCCTGGAGCCTAAAGGTCAGTGATGGAAAAGAAAAGGCGAGTCGTTTCCCGCGCGCTCCCCGCTACCCCTCAACTGCACTAGGGTACTTTGCTTTCCTCAAGTCCCGCCCGCGCCGTCCCCTCCCACCCAGCCAGTCAACTCTCCCCATCTCAGCTGCCCAACGAAGGTTCGCCCCTTCTGCTGCAGCCGCCGGCCCGGGCCACCCCGGCACGGGACCCGGCCCGCGCCCGCCCCTCGCAGGTGGCGCACGCGGCGATCTCAGCGGCCACCCCCTCTTCCCGTCCCTTCCCCCCCACCGGCGCCCCACCACACACCCGGGGCGGCGTGCGCTACCCGAGCGCTCCGCGGACCCGGCGCGAGCGCAGCCTCCCGTGGAAAGCCCGAGGAGGAAGAGAAGCGAGAGGCGGCGTTCAGGAAATTAATCGGGGCCGCGAGAGCCCGCCTCACCCCTAGCGCCCGGGGCCAGCACGACGCGGGGCCACCAGCCGTCCCGCCACCACTCGAGGAGCGCTCCGTCCCCTCGGCCCTCCGTCCGACGCTCTATCCCTGGGAAAAGCCCGCCCCTCTGCCTTTAATAGCCCAGGGAAAAAGCCCGCCCCCGCCCACCCGGCCCGCACAGGAATTAGGAAACGGAACCCCCACCCCGCCAAAGCGAAAACCCCACCGAGTCCCAGTTACCCACGGGCCGAGCGCAGTCGGCATTTTCCCCTCTTTCCCGCGAGCCGAAGTCTTTTAATTAAAGGCGCACCTCCGACGCGGGCGGGCGGCGTCTGGTGCTAGAGCCGGTGCCACTGGCGGCGAGCCCAGGAGGGCGCACTCGCTACCACCTCGTCCGGCCCCGCTCCCGCGGCGCTCGCCCCATCCCCCCACCGGAGACAGACGGCGAGGCCCACGGAGCCGTGGGACCGGGGTGTCCCCCACCCGGCGCGCGCATGCGCGCCACCTCGCCGCTAGATTGAAAGTGTTCCTAAGGCCCCAGGAGGAAAGAAATACAGACACAGCATATTCACTCTGTGCACATGTGAAAGTTCTAACCTCTGGCACCTTGTGCTACTGTTGGGAGGCTCTCGCCTTTGCCAGGAGCCCCCTTCACCCAGTAAATCAGGCTTTCTTGGCAGGCATCGTTAACGGTAGCAGCCACCGAGTACACGCACAAATGCAAGGAAGATACGGTGCAATTATCTGGCTTTCTCTTCTCATTCCACAGCTAATGAGAACCAATTGAGGGCTGGCTGCTTAAAGGCCAAAGCCCAAGTACACTCTCTGTGAAAAGTAAGACGACGTCTTAGTTTTTAAGAAGCACAATAAAAATGGAATTAAGCATACCAGACTTTGAACACTGGGCAAAATGCGGTCCTCAGACTAGACCCACTCCAGGTTCCGGGCGGACCCGGGAGCGGGGAGGGAGCTTGGGAGTGCGGGAGAGTTAGGCATCAGAGAAGGGAGTGAGCACGCAGAACCCAGAGAGGAAAGCACCGGGACGCTAGCGGGGGATGAGGAAAGGGGTGTGCCAAATGAAGCCGACCTCTCCCTCCCCACTATTGTTACCGCGGGAGATTGTGGCAGCCCGAAGCCCGGACGGGGACAAGGGCGCCATGTGATTCTCAACCTGGTGTACGGTAGTAGCCCAGGCAAGCCGATTACAAAAGCCTGGCCTCTCCCGCCCCTGGTCCGCGGTGGAGTCCAACCTGAACGGCCCGTGCCTCTTAGGAGTCTGCGGTGGAGGCAACGAAAGCCACACTCATTTCTTCAATGGGAGTGACTCCTACAGGTGGGCTTCCTCCTTTTTTCATAAAACACGCAAACAGACTCTGCAGCCCACCCTGGCGCTTCTGCCTGATACTTTCTGGAAACTACGCAGCCCAAAGTTTACTACTCAACCAGATCCGTCCTGTGAGATTGCACCGACTTCAATGCAATTTTCGACCTTTAATGGTAACGACTAGCAGTGGAAAGAAGAGGAGGGGGAGGGAGGAGATCTTAACCCCGACTTCAAGAAACATTGTATTAAAGCAAGATAAGAACAGTACCTTTGAGCTCGAGCAAAACCTGGAGTAAAAAAAGGGTTTTTGCAAAAGTGGCGCGAAGATAATATCATGTGATCCGACCCCAGGGCGTCTCCTTCCCCTTTTGACAAACTCCCCTCCCCCCGAAAAAAGGGGGGTAGGGGAGTTACATCCGCTCCTCACAAACTATTAGCATAATTAATTGTGTCCTGCAGCTGCAGCCAGAGCTCCCAGTCAATGAGTAAACATATCATCATCCTCTTCACCATCAGAACAAAAAGACCCATTACCCTGATTTTGGAAAATGTTCCCAAATAAATCTCATTATCATCAGAAGTCTTAATTTGGCATTCTGGCTCTGTCTATGTGTCTTGGTTTGAGAAAGAGAAGAGAGTTGGAAAAGATGAAATCATCCTTTTAAAAGGGAACTAGCAGAAGCAGCTACCCAAAAGTGAAAGATCTGAGAAGAGGCTTTCAAATGGAAATACCATGTTGAGGGACTTCAGTGGCTTAAGATTTTCCAAAAAGTTTTAAACAGTTCATTAAACAAGACATCCTCCAGAGTCTTCCTACTCGCCCCCCCAACTTACACCCCTCCTCCCACCCCCCTTCCCTTTAAAGCCAGAACAATACCCGGAATAAGGTATTTTGAGATTGCTTTACCAGGATATTTTCTTGTTCTTGATTTTTTTAAGGATTGCAACATATAGAATGTCTGGATCAAGTTCCCAACTGGCGAAAATAATTTATTCCATCTCAGTACCTGGGTAGTGTAAGGTAAAATTAAGCACAAGCTATATGTTACTATCCAGAAAAAACTAGGACATCATTTGATACATAAGTCACTTATTTTGGTCTTTTTCTTTGGGGAAAAAAAATTATAATCATCAGCCAAAATACCTAGAGAATCAAAAAAAGCTAAAGAACAAAGCATTTCACACACACACACCCCAAAAGTCAGAATAACTAACAGCTCAAAGAAAAGCACGTGATCCCTTCATGCTTTAAAACTTGTGGTCATGCTGAGGCTAAAAGCTAAGAGCTTGTGACCCCGCAACCCCGTCCCCTCCCCCAGACCACAGCCCAGGGCTTAAGGCTCCAGGTTCCCACCAGGCTCCTTCTCCCTCCCAGTATTGTGAGACAAACAATACTTAAGCATTCTGCAAAATAAAGGAGCCACAACTCCCAGTCCCAGTCACATCATTTACGCCTGTGTGTGTGTGTATGTGTATGGGTGTGGGTATAATATATATGTGTGTATCTCATATAGAACATACGCTTACACAGAAGCCCAGATGTTATACAAGAATGTGTAAGGAAGGCATTGAAACTGGCCAAAGGGAGGAAGGGAGAACTTATCTAAGAATTCTCATCACAATGTAAAATTTTTGAGTTTCTAATGAATTAAAAACCAGATATCCTGTGAAGAATTGCCCCCCAAATAGAGATACTTGGAGCGTTCATCCACCTGAAAAGGAGAGGAGGATGCCTCTATATTGACTCTAGATTTATTGTGCCACCAAAAGCAGCAATCTCAAGTAATTTGAATTTTAGCACCTTTCAAAATACTGGTAATAAACATTTTACCCATTTGAGAAATCATTTTACTTGATTTAGAAATAATATTAAGTGGCTCTGTTAAACCTAATGATTGGTATCTTAGGACAAAAAGGTCCCCATGGAAACCAGAAAGTAATTTAAGAGTATTATGTTCCTCACACAACTAGAATAGAGCTTTTGTTCTATGTGTATTTACTACTTTAATTTTTTGGACTACACTTGCAAAGGTCTCTTCCACTCTAGTTTTGCCTGGGATCAGGAATTCAGCATCCTCCTGCACTGTGTTTTGCTCCACTTGCAAGGTTCTGTGTTCATATGTGAGTGTGGGCCCAGGGGGCCTAAAACAAAGCCAGCAGATCAGAACACTCACTGAGCAATATGGGGGGTGGGGGGCGGGTGGAGGTGCCAAAGAGAAAATATTTCAAATGCTATTTTGCTATTTGATTCTAGAACAAGAACTGGGCTTTCAGGAGATTCACTTTAAACTGGTCTTGACTAACTTTGTTTCTTTTCAAAGTATTCATTTATTTACAAGCATTTCCTGTTTAAAAAATGAATCATCTTGTTTTGAATGGCAAGAATACTAAAATAAATTAATCTGAATAAAAGAAATTTGAATCTTTTGTTACCAAGGCTTAATTTGAGAAAATTTGTGTCAATGAAACAAAGGAAAATATTTGCATTAATAATGAACTTCTGAATGTTATTTCTTTTCAATAACATATACCAACATAAATCATATAAGTAAACAATACATCTTCAACTAAATAGTGTCAATGTGAATTAAATATCAATTTTAAAAGATTTGTCCCTTGTTAAGAAGAGGGAAATTTCACTAATTGAACATGCACAATTAGATAATTTGGTTTTAAAATGCAGAAAGCTAAAATATATTTATCTCAATCTCAAAGGGTTTTACGAAGATCAAATGGCAGCAAGAGGTGGATGACTTTCTGAAATGTGAATAAGTTTAAAATACACATTTTATTAAATTTCATTTGTTAGTAAATTTTACTTTTATGAATTGGTCTTTGCTAACTTTGATTTTTAAAAGTAAAAGTGTTTCATTATTTACAAACATCTCTTATCCTTATTAATGAGTTAATCTTGTTTTGAATAGCAATAAGTTACAATAGAATAAAGTTACATCTTGTGTAAATCAGATGAGGTATGTGAGTACTAGAACTTACAGCATGGAGCTAATTTTGTTATTATGTGATGCTTTAAAATTACTGTTCTGTCCATCTTTGCTTCTCTCAATAGTATGATAAAACAGTTTCCTCCCACTAACAGCATTATTTTTTACAAGTCAAATATTTCAAGTCAAAATACTTATGCAAATATTGAAAAGATATCAAAATAACCTGCCTTCCATCAGTAGAAAAATTTCTTAAATTAATTCTCCTACCTTGAGAATAGACTCAGTAGACATTAAAGTGATTCACTATTAAGATTAAATAGTGTTAAAGGTATTTTTACACTCTGTTTGAAACACTTTGATTTTCCTGTTTATGTGACCTTAGAAGTAGAACTTCTGGTATTACAAACCATAAAATTGCTAGCAGACTGTAATACTATAATCAAAGAAAAAGCTATAAAGCAGAAATATTTTACACACATCACTTTTTTCAATCATTTTTTCAGATTAAATTTGTCCATCTTGGCACCATTATAAATTTTCTAAGGGAAAATAGTCATGACATGGAATTTGATGAAAGATACAGTTTTATATTCAAAATACAATCTCCCAAAACTTATCATCACATTTTCTTCCAAAACAAGCAAATCGTAATGCTAAGGATTATCCATTTATGTAATAATTTTACAATATTAAGTGTGTTACTTGAAAAGGTCGTGATTCAGAAGTAAAGACTCAAGATCCCAAGT